AGGCAGCAGAGGAAAGGAAAACCACAAAGCTGACAAGAATCCGTGACCTGCACTAATCACAGAACTGGACTGAAACGGCACAGGGAGTTTAACACTGACTGGCCTTGCCCTGAATGAGGGAACTAATGCTTTTGTTTCATGATTCCACTTTGTATGATTTCTGACACATTCTGCCTTATAAATGTTCTGGACTGTTATTCTAAGTTGGAATAAAACAGACATCGATAGAACACATACACGACAGAGCAGGTCACGTGAAATCAGAAATGGATCCATATGCACCCGACTCCTGACTTGGGTCTAAGGACTTAGGGGGCTGCCCCGATACCCTTCTCCTCGCTCTGTTCCTGCCATTCTGTCTCTGTTCCTCAACCCCACCAGGCTCCTTCCCTCCCAGTGACCTTGCCCTTGATGGTCCCTCCGCCTGGAACTTCTCTGAGATAGATGTCCATATGCATATGGCCGACTCCCGGTCATCCTCAAGGGGTCACTCCTCCAGGAGGCCCCCTCTCCACCCACTCCGCCTGACCACATTACCCTCTCATTCTCTCTGTAGTTCCTACCAGTGCCCACAATTACCCATGTTTGTTTACTGTTTCACCCAGGAAAACGTAAGTTCTTACTCTTGTATCCTCAGTGTCTACAGTGGTACCTGTGCATGGTAGGCACTCAATGAGTAGTTCTGAATGAAAGAACAGAGGAAGGGGCTCCTGAGGAGGGAAGTTCATGATCAAGGACCTAAGAGAAGGCTGAAATTCCAGGGGGAATGGAGGGAAGATGGGGAAGGCGAGCTTTCATGGGAAACAGGAACAGGTCAAGTTTCTATAGGCCTTGGCACTGACTGTCACCGGGAATTTTAGGACCAATAAGGGGCCTCTGACTGGTTTTAATTCGAGAATACTAAGATTAGGTTTGGTTTTTTAATATCACCCTGGGTTCAATATGAAAGATGAGTGACAAGGGAGCAAGAAAGGTTAGGAGTTCAGAGGCTGTGACAGCAACTCTGACAGGTGAGGGGGCCACACACATGGGAGGTGAGTGGCCATGGCTCCTATGATGACAGAACAGAGACAGGAGGTACGTCAAGGAGGACTCTGTGCTCCGCTTGCTGGCAGTGGGGCAGCATCCAACCAAATACTAGACACTGTCAAAGGGTAGATGGGGTGGAGGACGGTGGACACTGCCTGGCGGGGCTGCCGCTGAGACCTCCTGTGGAGCTGCCTAGTAGGTAGCTGGATATGAGGGTCTGGGGTTCAGGAGACAGGTCTGGACTTGAGGAAACAAAGGTTCAAAAGACACCATGAATAAGACTGTGTTAGTGACCAGGGAGGTGAGAGAGAGGGAAGTGGAAGGATTCTGCGTTCCTGATATGGGTCCTGTGGAAAGGGGGTGCTCCTGACGAAGCCCCAGAGGTAGTAGAGACGGACATTTGAAGAATCCCACATCTGCTCTGAAACCGCCTGGGCCCAGCAGAGTCTCTGTGCAAAAGGCTGAGTGGCTATGGAGAGGGGCAGGCAAAGCCAGGGAGGGAAGTGTTCCCAGCCGGCTGACTGGGAGGTGCTGGCTAGTAAATGTGTTTGAACTGAGAAGTCATGCCTCTCCCAAGGCCAAGTGACTACATTCTCAGCCTCCCTTATCGCTAGGTGTGGCTGCGTGACTAAGTTCCAATAAAGATAGAAACAAGTATGTGAACTATGTGGGGATGTTTCAGTAAAAGGGAAGGGGACACATCCTCCTCCTCCTCTTTCCTCCACCCTAGTGCGTGAAGCGTGGATGAAATGGCTGGAGCACTAGCAGCCTGTAGGTCCATGAGGATGAGGGCCAAATCCAGAAGGTGGCAAGAAATAAGCAAGAAGGTGCCCGACAACTCCAAGAAACTGCCATACCTCTTCTTGGGATTGCCTACATTCAAACTTTTTTTTTTTTTAAAGAGAGAGAAATACGCTATCTCAGTTAAGCCACCCTTTGAAACCGTTCTGTTGTATGCTGTGGTTCCTATCCTGGAGGGAACACAAGCTGGCTGGTTAATTGCTTTCTCCTGGCTTTAGGTCATGTCCTTGCCTTGATAGGGAATATCCTCCTCTTTGCCTGTATTTATTTAAATCCTGCCCATGTTTTGGAGGATGGATCAAGTTCCACCTCCCACAGGAGACTTCCCTTCCACTTCCTCCCTGAACCCTGGCACTGCCTGCCAACCCCTACTCCTTGGGCATCTGGCCTAAGCTGCCTTCACAGTGGTTCATCCCTCCACCCTGACCTCCTGACTCCTCGAAGAGGCTCGGGACCATCAAGGGCATAGACCTTGGATTCCCTGGACCCAAGAGGCATTCACTCACTGCAAGGTCACCATGAATATTCCCCCAATAAGCCTCTCTCACCTCTACCTGCAGCCAGGGGCAGGAGGGGTCAGAAAGTATGTCAATAAATTCTAAAAGTGGAAAGACAGGCAGGAGTGAGGACAGTTTGTAAGATATCTAAAACTACTTCCAATATGCAGAGGTAACTTGGGGGAAAGATCTGATATGCCTCCTTCAAACTATATAACACAGATGTTTGACCGCCATACAGTTTACCCACCAAGAGGCATGATTCATATAAAAAATAAAATGAATGGCAACCCCGAGAGGGTAGTGCTGTAGTCCCACACACATAAAAATGAGCCCCTTCAGAAAAAAAAAGTCGTGTTAACCAATGTATTTTCATAGACCACACGCACAACATATTCTGCATAAATTGTTATCAGTAACAAATTACTTTTGATTTGAGTAAAATCAAAATTATGTTCCAAACATTCTAAGAGCAAGTTCAGACCCAACTGATATAGTTCATTTGTGAAAAGTCTAATTTTTTAAAATTATATACTTTATCGCCTTATTGTCTGCCACAGAAATTGTTAAAATCAATCGAAAAAGCAGCAAAGGCCCAGAAAATTCAGCCCCGTCAGAGCTGGATTTGTCACACAAGCTGACCAGTCAGGGAGATGTCGCCAGGGACAGTGACTGGGGAGGCTGAGATGGAAACTCCCGATGCAGTGGATCAGCCCAGGTCCGAATAACAGGGTCTGTTTAAGGGCGTGTCCAGATTTCCTCCAAATGCCCGAGTGAGAGGTGAGAATGCGGAGAAGCCACGCTCCCGGACTACCCGGAAACCCCAAAGGCAGCATAAACAAACACACACAGACCCCAGGGGTCATACATAAACCCCGCAGGGTGCGCTTGGCACCGAAGGGCCCGTTCAGAGAGAAGTTTTCTGGTTGAAATGACAGTGCCTCTCTGAGACCGGCCGGCATCTAGCATGGAACAACAGCCATTTAAAATTGCAGCCGATGCCAAGTGCAAGGGCAATAACAGGCCACGAAGCTAACGTCGCTATCCTTCCTGCAGACGGTGTGAGCAGTTTACATAGCCGCTCCTCCACCGCCTCACTTCTGTTGAAACCCAGCTGGTTTCACCATGCCTGCCCAAACTGTCTCCTTCCGGGCCTCAGAGTGCAGAATTCCATGCCAACCCCGCATGGCCAGATGCCACTTGAGACCGGTGCTTGGGGACACCGCCTGGCCCCAGGGAAAGCTTGCCTTCTGGACTGAGTCACCGCTGTGACCACCAGGTGTCAGTGGCGAGCGAGGAGACTCCCATCCTGAGTTCTCAGGGCACTTCAGCTGACCCTGGAGCGGGTGACACATGGCCCTGGGGACAAGCAGCACTATCTCAGATTCTCAGGCACGCAGGAGTATTTCATTTACTTGCAACTCACCATGCAACCTCACTGCGCAACTTCTAGGACGGTTTTAATTCAATATCCTTCAGACACTGAGGCAGAAGGTTAAGGACTGACTGCCCGCTTCAGCAAGGGCTGGGGCCTTGCTTTTCTTCCCCCAGGAAAGTGGAGAACAAAGCAGGGTTTCTACCCCTTGCCAGCTCTCCCCATAGAAACCACCAAGTGACTCTTCTAGCAGTTTCTCTGTATACTGAGGCTCCAGATGTTTAGTCTGTGATGCTTCAGCAGCAGCTTAGCTGCAATTGGGTGCAGAGCATAGGAGGCTAAACCCGGCAAAGAAACTGGCTACTTCACCGCCGGCTCTGATGAGCTGAATCTAAACTGGTTTCTTCCATCGGGTATAGCGTCTTCAACAGAAATGCTGGCTTTGTGAGTCACTGCAGCCACAATGGAACCTGCATATTATTGGTCCTTTAAACCCAGGGTGTCAGCAAAGCAGGGTCATACCTATATCTACTTCCCTCTGTAGGTGATGACACTTCCTGTGGAACACAAGGGTATGCTGAGCCAGGCTCACTGTATCCTCAACAGCAAGCTCCTTCCAGGGTCCACATAGCCACTAAACATCGCCCAGACACCAAAAAGAACGCATCTATTCCCCCTCAGCCTTTCCACATCCAGACACATGCCCCTGCTGAGCACTGCCCCCTCCAAGGACTTGAGAAATCTGGCAGGTTCTTCCACTGCCATTATCCCCTTAATTTGAATTTCAGTGAGCCTGATTCCCAATGTCTCACAAGCCAGGATGCTGAGAACAGAGGAAAAACACAAACTCCCGGCTGAAGGACCCTTCCGAGTTCAGCTGAGGCTTCTGCAAACAGCTTCAAGACCCCATCTTGCACAAAGAAACACTCAAATGTTTATATACTAAAGGGCCTCACTGAGTCCCAAAACTTGGAAAGACAGTTTTGTAACTGGGGGACCAGAGCTGGCCCTACTATCCTTGGGACGATCTTTATTCACAAGAAGCATTACACTTAATGATGAGGGGGAGCTCAATGGCATTCTGTGGGTGCGGAGCATGTACAATGATAGCCAGGACAGTAGTTTAGCCAGGGAAGCGACTGCCCCTCTCCTTTTGTCTTAATTCATGGCCCCCTGTCACATTCTACCCAACCCCCACAACAACTTTTGAGCCTGTGTCTCCCCAAAACAAGGGCTTCCAGGTCTGAACAAAGAAACGTGCTACAGACAAGCTTGCGGGAGCAAAATGCCATTCTTACCGTTTGCTGATGACGAGACACAGACGCGCATGTTGCCCCCAGTCATGCTACAGTTCTGCCAGAGGTCCACCATGTGTCCGTTGCCCATGAACCATTGCTAGAAAGAACAAGACATCCTAAATCAGGCGAGGCAGTGAGGAGTGACAGAAAGGGGAGGGAGAAGACCCTGGGAGAGCAAAGAGGTGCTTCATCAACCTGCCCCCTGGCCTGCCCTTGCCCTGCCCGGTGCTGCCCAGCCAGAGCCACTGTCATGCTGGTGAGGAGAGAGGTGCTGGTCTGGCTCAGACACTGTCAGGGGGAAGGCCAGGGTTGGCCAGTGAAAAGCACTTTGTAAATGGGAAAGCAGCACACACATAAGTCACGATGTGCAGAGCTGTGTACTGTGGTAGAAGGAGCCTGGGCTCAACCCGGGCCCACCTGCCTCCAAGCCTCCTCCCCACTTGGACCTTCTGTTGCTTCCTTATTTATAACTCCTCCCAATCTGACAAGACTGTCAGGCACAATTAACATGTTTTAAAATGCTTATAAAAGATAAACCCGAATGCTTATAAAATTCACAAATCTGGAACATAATTATTTCTCAGCCTTTGAAACAGACAAGATGATCCTGCCTGGGACCTGCCTTATATGAAGAAGTGAGAGCCACAGCACCTCGCTGCCCGGGTCTGTGTTCACGTTCCCAGCCAGGAAATGAGTTTAGAATCTCATCTACTTGCTGCTCAGTGTTTTTGTAACTCAAGTTGCCCTGATGGCCTGTTCAGACAGGGGCACTTTTCCTAAGAAGGTGTTATGTTCACGTCATAAAGCAGAACTGGGACTGTGAACTCTCTTTTAAAAAAGCCAATTTTAACGTCCCAATTTTAAGTCCTAACGGGTGTTTTGCGAACGAAGCTGCCCATCTGACCTATGACATTTGGGATAAAAGCAAACCTTCATAACTATTCCACTTTCTCAACAAACCTGCATCAGGAAAAAAAGCTAAACAACTTTACCAAGTAAAAGTCTGGGGGTCTGGATCTGCCCTGAGAGAGGCCTGGCAGCTAACCTAGCCCAGTGATTGTTTCCTCCCTACCCCTTCATCTGCGCGGGTTTTCTCAAAACAACCCCAAAGGCGCAGATTGCCAGAAACTGCAAAACGCTAGGGCACTTCTGGGACTTTTTGTTGCAAATAATCAAGCAGTCCTGAACTAGGGGGGCCGGGAGGGGGAGCACAGGTGGAATCCTGGCCTCCGGAGGCCCTAGCTTTGGGTGAGGACTGGATGCCCGCAGCCCCTGCTGCTGGCCCGCCCGCCGGGCACTCACGCTGACGATCGTGGAGACGAACAGCAGCACCAGCACTGCGACGTGGAGGACAATGATACCCAGCAGCAGGAGGAGCATTTTGGCGGCAAGTTGTGATCAGCGGAGTTTCTGCCTGCGGGAGAGAGCACAAGCTGGACGTGAGGCCGAGCGGACTGGCCCCAGCGAGCTCCTGCGAGGGCGGGAGGGGTGCGAGGGAGGTTCCTGGCCGCGGAATGCCGGGCCTGGCGCTGCGCCCGCGCCGCCTCCCGGACGGGGGCCCTGCACGCCCGGCGGCCGCCGAGAGGGGGCAGCAGCGGACCGTAGGATGTCCGCCCAACCTCAGCAGGGAGGGGGTCCCCCTACCCCAGAACATCTTCTGCTTTTGGAAAAAACATGTGCTAAGTCAGTCCAGGAGGAGAGGTTTTTCCAAAATGACGAGCAGAGGCCAGAGCCCGCCTCCACCCACCACCCCGGCGCCTCCCGGAGTAGCCCGACTTGGGGAAGGGGTCAGAAAGTGGAGAGCAACGCTCCCTTGTGGAGTGAAGGTGGGGGCGAGGGGCTAGGCGCCCAGATTTCCGAGAGAGGCCGGGGGCAGCAGGGGCAGGCTGGGCGGGAGAGCGCCTGGCAGGGAGTCGTTTTCCCAGATCCCGGCGCGCTCCGCATTCCGTTGGTCTCCAAGTTTCCACTCAGTTCTGCCAGCGCCCGGAGCCGTCCTGGCCCCGGCTCAGCAGCCGGAGACACTGGCGGTTCGGGGAGAGGCGCAGGGCGGCGAGGGGAGGGAAGAAAGGCGGAGCGAGCCCCGGACCCGGCGCTTCCCGCCGGCCGCGCGCCCCCTCCCACCCCGCAGTCCCTGGGCGGGGCCTCCCCCCGGCGGGCGCCCCGCAGGCCCGCCCTGCAGCCCCTCGGGGCCCTAAGCGCGCGGAGCCGGGACTCCCGCAGACCTGGGACTGTGAAACCTTTTCTGAAAAAGCCGTTAGTTAACATCCCAATTTTAAATCCTGAAGGGTGTTTTGTGAACCAAGCCGCCCATCTAATGGAGCGGAGCAAATGTCGGTGGGAAGCAGAGGCCGAGGGGAAAGGGTCGAGTCCCAGGAGAACGGCAGCGGCCGTGGCGCGGTGCGGTCCTCGCCCCTCCTTTTAGGGACCTTGGGGAACTGGAGACGGGGTGACCTGTTAGAGGATGGGTAAAGTTGGGAGACCCGTTGAGTCTTTGGGGACCATTTCAGGACGGAGTCATGGGCCAGGGAGATGTTTCATAACTCGGTTTTAAAGCACCCAATCCCAGGCCCCTTCGTTACCCTCCATAAGCAACACCCTGAAAGAAATCCAGGGTTGTACAGGGAGAAATCAGCAGTTTTCTGAGGTCTCCCAGAAGGTTTAAATAAATCCAGTGGCTCCTAGGGCCGGGAGGGGCAAGAGGAGGAGGATCGGCATACAGCTAGAAAGCGGGGAACCACAGCACCCCGGGATGTCCACCGCAGGCACTGCCTTGCCAAGGAGTCCGGAGTAGGCTCCTTTCCAGGCAGGCGAAAACTGCTCCACCCCTGCCCCATATCCCGACCCCAACACCCGCGCCCCTTAGGTTTACAGATCAGCCGCACCCCACTCTGTACCCTTAAAAACCCCGTAGGAACCGCAAGGGACAGACCCTGGTCGGCCTGCCCACGCCCGATACGGGAAGCTCAGGGACCTGGCCAGCCGAAGCCTGCGCGGGCTCCGCGCTCTCTGGCACCATCGACGGAAGATGCCCACGTTTCTCCTCCGTCTCCTCCACTTTCCCGACCGAAGCACTTACAGCCCAAAGGGATAGCGGTCCCCGATCCTCAGAGCGGCCTCGGGCCCGGACTCGCTGAGTTCTCCTCCGGCTGCAGGCGTCCCCAAAGACAGCTGCGCTGCGGGGCTTCGCGCGCCGAGCAGGGGCGGGCGGGAGGCTCCCGGCCTTCCCTTTAACGGGAACAACGCCCTGTCTGCGTCGCCGCAGTGGGGTGTGTCCCTGGGTCAGCGTGTGCGGGAGGGCGGGACTCGGGGAGGAGAAAGGGCAGAAAGTGGCGGGTGGGGGCAAGAGACAGTTATTCGCCTTCAGGGCGCCTCGGGAGAAAGTCAATCACTGCAAAACCGCTGCGACTTTTACGGGAAACTCGGAGACCGCGGAGCTTTCTCCCCTCCGCTTCCCCTCACGCCGCCGAGTTCATGGAAACCGAGCGCTGACCAATAACGTGGCCCCTCCACCCCCTCAGCCCACGTGGGAAAAGCCAGCCGGAGTTCGCCCCGCGGGTGCCCAGCGCTGGGCTTCGGGGGCTCACTCCCGCAGGCTGAGTGCACGTAGGGACCGAGGCTGGATGACTCTCGGGGACGTGGGGAGGGCGCGAGGGCGGGCGGCTGACACTTCAGCGTTGGGGGATGCCCAATCCTCTCCGTTCCTGGCGCACCCGGCCTGCTCTGTGGTCTTAGCAGGCACCTCTGCACCGCGCTCCCCAGCTCTCCGTGTCTGCACACAGGTCGCGCTAGGATTGGAGTGGACCGATCTAGCGGGCCCCGCTTGGATGAGAGGGGCTGAGGGAGAGTCCTGGCAACTATGAGACAGCCTGTCCCGGGGTCCAGCCCTCCCTAGCCTGGGCAAACCAGAACACAACCGGGTATGCTCCAAGCGAAGTTTGCCTGGCTTGGCTCCCAGGCTCGGCTGGCGTCCCTGCCACGAGGTGGGGAGTTGGCCATTTGAGGTGGGGGAAGAGCAGCCAGGGAAATCAGCTGATTCATAGCTGCCTGAACTTGGTCCGCCTAGCGTCACAGGGAGAGACTAGCCCTTCCGGGCGGGCGTGGCAAAGATGCGCTCAAATAGACACTCCTGCAGGCCAGCCTTGGTGTATGAAGAGAGAGCCCCAGTGTGGATGTTAAGCCTCTTTGCCTAAGAACGCAGTACACACACACACACACACACACACACACACACACTTACCTGCTAGTGAACTGTCATAAAATCTCATCACTTTAAATGATTTAAATCATTCCACATTATTTTACTATTTGAAAGTAGCTGTTTATTGTAGCTAATCGTATATGCATTCTAATATTTAAGTGAAAATAAGTTATTTGAAAAATTCTTCAATGATCTTTTAAAAATTGTTATATTATTAGATTAAAAAAAAAGAATCATAGTAAAAATTGTATCCAATGTCCTTCACATAGCAGGCACTTTAGCAGGACTTTCCACAAGGTCTGTGAGAGGTGATATGGTCCAATGGTTAGGCACTGTGGCTCTGGGCTCAGCCACACCTGATTACCCTGCTTTCTCAGGGTGCATGAATTTGGGGAGTTAACTGAAGTGCACTGAGCATCTGTTTGCTCTCTGCAAACAGGACTAATAATGCCTATCTTAAAACATCTGAAGCAGCGAGCATAGTAACTAAAACATAAGGGCCCAGTGCCCAGCACATTGTCACCATTCTTATTATGACATCACATGTAACCCTCACAACAAGTTCAGGGGCAAGCCTGACTGCCCTGAACTAAAATAGCTCTTAACTCCCATCTGCTGAAAACACATATGCAAGGAGAATGACTAACTAAAGAAAAAGAAGTGTTTTTTTCTGCCCGGGGCATTTTACAGTCAAGCTTGCCGTAGGAGTCATTGCTTTGCTTTATGCCACTTAGACTTTTATTTACATGTAATTTATTATTTAACCAACATTTATGTGATCACTATGTACCCAGTACAAGTCTAAGCACTTTACAAATATTAGTGTATTTAACTCAGGATTTTTTTCTCTTCCCTTTTCCCCGCAAGCAAACTGTTAAATGAAATATGCATCTAGAAAATGTAGACATTGTAAGGCACAGCTCAGACCTTCCTTTCTTTTGAACCCAATATTTGAATCAGTGCCAGGTCGCAGCCAAGCTGTGGGCTGCGGAACTTGAACCCAGCCCCCCTCACGGCCTCTCCTGTCTTCTGCCTACTGGGCTCCCAGTGGTGGAGGAGGCTCGGTGCAGGGTGAGTGAGTTCTGCCACACCCAGGCCGGGCCAGGGCTCAGCGACAGGTGGAAGCTTCTCTCTGGCCTGCTTACCAACGCCAGATCACCTGCCAGTGTCTAGGCAGAGCTGGTTCCCATCAGGAAAGACCACCTGGACCGCCCTGCTCCCTTCAAACCAGATGTACTGGGCTTTCTAGATGCCCCAGGAGGGTCGTTCTCACCACCCCAGCCAGAGTGCATGTCCAGCTCTTAACCTAGGATTAAAATATTCTCTGACTCCCCAGTCAATTCCAACACACACGCAGTCCCACTGCAATCCTTTCCATTTGCGTTCTGCAGGGACTGGGGGATTGGGCAACAAACACTCCGTCAAACAGAGTAAGTACACACCACCCAGAGGCACAGTTTGCAATAAAACTCACCGGGACAAACAGTGTAATCCCTTCTTCCACCCGGCTTTCTTTGCAGTCAAATGCAAAGGGTGCAGAGGCAAGGCCCTCCCGCAGGGCAGGAGAGAGGCCTGCAGCTGGCAGACCAAGCCCGCTGCTTCTGACCAGGCTCCCAAGATGCTCCCTGGTGGTGTTCCCTGTCACTGAGAGCCGAGCCAGGCGTCCTTCCAGTTATTCAGGGGCTGGTCCAATGCTGGGATATGTCATGGTGGCCTGAGAGCATCTCAGCCTCTACTATTTAAAGAGACAGTGCCCAGCTTTGTGCGCTTTGCAGAACACGGTGATCCCAAGAGGCCCGGCAGGGCGTGCAGAACCTGAAATCAACAAGATGAGCTCTTGGTACGCCTGTAACCTGGGATGCCAAGGCTGTTCTCACCGGAAGTGCCAGCTTGTGTAATAGCTAAAAGGTCTCCTGGGTTTTCAGTGCCCACCCCCACCTCCCAGTGAGTCCTGTAAAGATGAAATGTACTGTGTGAAGGGTCTATGTCCATAGTGTTATATGTGTGCAAACAGATTTCATTTCTAACCAACGATATCATTTTAAGGAGCTGAGACGTTGCACAGATCACCTCTCATAGCATCACCCCAGGGAACCAAATGTCTCAGTGTCATTCATTATAAAGTGTTGACCTTCATGAAATAATTCAAGAAAAAAACAACAACCCTCTCTTGTAAACATTCTGAGCTGTCGGGCAGGAGAGGCCAGCAGAGCCATCAGAAAGCTATAAAGAGGTGCACAGCGGGAGGCATGGTGTTCTTGAGGCTCTCTGTGACTTATCCACCTTTGAGCTCTCAAAAGGGCCCTCCGTCTCTTGCAAGGTCTCCTCATTGGAAACTCCAGGACAAGGGGAGTTGGTTTTATTGAATGAGTTTCCTGAAATTCTGGCAATTTCCCCACTTTTTTTTTTAAGGATATGTTTTATTGTTGTTGTTTTTGTTTGTTTAGAGAGAGGAAGGGGAAGAGAGAGAGGGACAGAGACAGAGTCAGAGAATATGACCCAAATGAGGGTCGAACTGCTGCCTAGTTATGTACCCTGACTGGGAATCAAACCCCACAACCCTTTGGTATAAGGGATGATGTATCAACCAATTGAACTGCCTGGCCAGGTTCTCCATCTCTTAAGTTAGGGACTCGGAGCCTGAATCACCCCACAGAGTTTGGGGAAGTGCTCTCAGCACAGATACTTTGTGTGTTGGACTGTGCAGTCGGTCGGGGTCGGGATGGGGGGCGGGGGACAAGTTGCCCTCTCCCCTGTTCTGCTCCAAGCCTGCATTTCCAGTCCCAAGGAAATAAGGTAGCCTTTTTCTTTAGGCAACTCATCTTTATTTTTCCCAGTCCTGAACTCTCCTGGTTTCCCTCCAGCTGCCTTCTGCTGTGGAGCCCCATTGGAGGCAAGGCCCAGTGTGGGCCGCAGTGTTCTACAAGTTATAGTCCTGCCAGGCAGATCAGGGTGTGTGTGTGTGTGTGTGTGTGTGTGTGTGAGAGAGAGAGAGAGAGAGAGAGAGAGAGAGAGAGAGAGAGAGGCCTCTCAATCCCTCCTGGGAGGAACTGTGAGCATGGTTTTCAGGCCTCCCAGACGGCCCCCTTCCTAGGGTGCCTTCCACAGCGAGACTCTGAAGGCTGCTGACTTTCAGGCTAGGATTAAGCCTGGAGGCCTCTGAAAGAATCGCTCTGCTCAGAGCAAGAAGCACCTGCATTTTGCTTCTGAAGAGGTAGAGCCAGTCTGGTCAGCTCCTCAGGCTTCCAGGCTCCAGGTTTCAGGACCTGCTCTCCTGGCCTTGGGTCTCCTCTGCTGCTCCATCTCCTGCAGCGAAGCCCTGGAGAGCCTGCTGGCCTGGGCTGTGACCTGTGAGACATGCCCTGAGGCTGCAAGGCACCAGCGCTGGTTTCTGGTCACTGCGGCACTCCACGGCCCATCCACCAGACTCCCCACAGTCAACCGAGGAAGAGCCTTCCTGGTTTTCCGGGGACCCACACCCAAGGTATCTGCGTTGAGCAATGTGTCTGTCCTCAGGGTCATGGAGAATATCCCCCCAGGCCATTTGCCATAATAATGAATAGGCTATTTACCAAATCACACTTATCATTATTTCCCCATCTTCTAGATGGGGAAAGTGAGAATTAGGCAAACGTCTTGAGGAAAGCCAGACTGGTGAATCCCCACACCCAAGCTTTTCCCGCACACATGCTACTTCAGCTTGTTAGTGACAAATCACCCCGAAGTCAGTGCTGAAAATAATAACAACCATAGTGGCTCACAGCTACCTGGGACTTACCATGTGCCAGATACCCTGCTGAGCCTCTTGCATAAATCCAATAATCTCATCCTTATAACAACCTCATGAAATACCCCACCACCCTGTTTTATACCAGGGGAAACTAAGGCACAGCATGACAGCAAGTGAGTTCCTCAAGACAAAGGAATGACAGATTGGAACCAGGCATCTGTGAAGTTTTGCAGCCTGCCATGCAGTCATAGCACATCCATACCCTTTTCATGCTGCTGCCATAGACACTGTACAGTCTAATTTCCT